TTTTGACTTAGCCAAGTCATCTTCAATATTGATCCCAATGTCATAAACGGCCTTGAAAGTATGGAGATTATTTTGATATTTAAGATGCTTGGAATAGTTTTCTTGGAGATTCTTGATAAACAGTCTCACAGACTCTTTTTCACTTGGCACCTCAATCATCTTAGCTGAGGTTTCTCTCCACTTGTTAAAGAAAGAGGTGAAGCCTTCATTCTCTTTCTGCTTGAGGATTTCAAGTTCTCTATGGTCAGTCTCGACTTGAATGTTGCACTTGTACCTATCAACGAAAGCATTTGCTATAGACTCCCAGGTAGAGGTCTTTTCTTTCTCGAGAGAAAAGAACCATTGTTGGCAAACGGTCTCGAGAGATAGTGAGAAAAGAGAAGGGAAGACCTTCTTATAGATACCCTTGATACTCATTATTGTTTCAAATGCTCTTAAATGGAAGTAAGGGTTGTCAATTGCTCTGAATTTTGGGATGTCGTTGGCGTTGAACTTCTGCGGAAGAAGATCCTTGTCCACCGAGACCCCTTGTGATGTAAGCTCTTGAAACTTGTAGTCGCTGGACAACTTGCTTAAACTCTCTTGCATGAGGTCCATTTGTTGTTGCTTCACGGGATCGTCGATCCTAAGTGCGAGAAGTTTCAGTGTCTCAGTCACAGTAGCCAGTTGGTTCTTAAGATCATTGACTTCTTCTTGAGTTGCCATTATAACCCTAGCTTTCCTCTTGCGAGCTATAGGTTTGTCGAAAAGTTGGACTTGTACAAAGAGGTTATCTTTGATTAATCGTCCTTCCTTTCTTGACCACGCGCTGTAAATTAAACCATTTTGCATTTTAATTACTTGACTCGAATCATCTCGACTTTATGGTTTATTTTAAGGGAAAAAAGAAAAAGAAAAGGGTGCATAATTTTGGCAAAAATAATGTACATATTTTTAAGGAACTAAGTATTATTATCTTTATTGGAGGATTAATATCCGAATTACCCCCTAAAAATGACGGAAAAACGCGCGCACAAGACTCTCTTAATCATGGTCAAAGTATGTGTATTGGTGTGTGCGTTGAGTGTAAGTGACATGCTTGGACTGTTGTGTAATACCATGGGACTTAGTGCCTAAACTCGATCATTGATTCCATTAAACATTATTGACAGCAAAATTAACTGAATTAAACAGAAAACTGGTTAATTAGACCCTAGGTGATGACTCGACCAATAATCCGAACTATCGGCCAAGCGACAGGACTGGCGTCACACTGTGGAGCTTGGCGCCAGACAACATAGCTGTCGTCAAGCGCTACACTCCATAGGGTGGCGCTACAGCTCAGACCTTGGCGCCAATATTTGAGCTTCAGTCTGGGACTGATTTCGGTGTTATTAGTCAACTGGGGTATGCCTAAAGTCGTACTAGGTCAATTCTGATTAAAATATTAGACTTTTTTGACTAAAATTAATTAATTAATTAATTAATTAATTAATTAGGCAAAGTTCTTTAAGTCATTAATTGATTTAGTCTCAACACAAGTCAACAAACGGTTAAGAGAAACATAGAATATATATGCACAACAAATAATGCACAATTAGTCAAGTAGGCACAACATGATGCAATGAGTTCGCAACCTAACCATGGCTCTAGTTCTCTAAAGTTCGGGATATGGTTTAGTCAATAGAGGGTCCATGTTTAATTGTCCGGATGCACCGCGCGGAAGCCTAACCGTGAAGGGTTGGCGCGAGTGGATGGGACACCGCGAGTTCTTAGAAAAAAACTCGCTTCCATGGTTTGGTGAATTCAACATCTCGGATGTACCCTTTGTTGCACGGAGCGTTCAATCGGGTAGATGTAGCATGAATTCCCAGAGGGTTATATCCATATGTAGAACACATATGGGTTTCAGAAAAGTGAGAAAAAAAAATTCAATCAGGAAGTAGGATCGAGCAAACAATACGAAAAACCGGTCGAAATTAGAACGCATATTTCTGGCTCGGTATTGGGGGAAATTGGCGCCAGCAATCAGAGACTGGCGCCAGCTTTTAACTATAGCGCCTGGCGCCAATACTGGTGTCTGGCGCTACGGCTAAAAGTCTGGCGCCAAGCTCTGGCCCCTGACGCTACTTCCCACATGCCTTAGCAGCTTTCTGTGCTCGATAAAATTTTCCAATTTCGCGCGTAGTTATTTCAGTCCTAGTTGTGAAAGATATTTCTCAAATTTCCTAGGTGTAAAATCCTATGTTTTTAACTCATTACAGATTGTCTTTCCAATGAGATATTTTTTATGCATATGACAATAATGTTAATCAAAATTACGCACATGAAATACTTAGAACTTTTCGAGTCTCATCCACTCATTCTAAATCATTGCCGAAACAAATTCAGGAATTAAAATAGAAATCTTCCCCAGTGGAGTCGCCAAAAACTGTAGGGAATAATTTCAAGCCTTTAAAATCCCACTAGCTTGAACCCCACTGTGGTCATACACTAAAGCACGGTGGCGTCCAAAAGGGAAGAAGATAGAGCAAAAGAGTCGCCAACAAGTTTTTTAGGAACTTGTAAACCGTTCACGAGGTGAAGGTTACACCCCTTAACGATCCAAGAGATCGTCAACTCCATAAGGTCATGAACCAAATAAGGGTTCCGGGATGAAGGTACAAATCCAACCTAAAAGAGATTAAACCTGCCCTAATAATAGGCCTTTTCTTTATTCTGATCGTATTCATGTGCGCTTTCTAATTAACATGCAATCAATAGGATTAACCCTAAACCTGTTTATCTATGTTGGTTGAATTTAATGCACAAATGAACTATTATTGGCGATCACTTGAATTATAATCAAATTAACCATAAACAAGATTATTAAATATCTTATTAAGCGTGATTACAAGTACCAAATTCCCTTTAAACATGCATAAAAGGTGTGATCAAGCAATAATTATAAATAAGAATCAAGCAACATAATAAATAATCATTATCATGACAATAAAATTATAATCAAAATAAAAATAATAATTTTCATGATCATGTTCATATTAATATTAAAGCATATTAAAAATAGCAAGATCCTAGGCATGATACTAACAAGATTAATAACAAACCCTAGCATGTCACTAAGCAATAAAAATCAAATCTTTAACCCTAACATGATACTAACAATCATAAATATTAAGAAGAACATAGGAAGCATCATAACAATCATATTAAATATTAAAAATACCCTAGACATGATACTAGGAATATCATAATGACAATATAAACATGATTTCTACATCATAATATCAATAAATCAATTAAAGCACTTACTTTGATGCCTCGTACCTCTTTCTAATAACAAAATACACACGTTAGTAACTTCAAGGAAAATAATAAACAAAACAATTAAATTAAATAATTGAAATAGAGATTTGAGACCAAACCCTCAGAAATTAAAACCTTTCACGGCTAGGGCGAAGGCAACTTCGAATATGGCTAGGTGTTTCTAGATCTTGTGAATGCGGAATTTTGTATGAAAAGAAAAGGTTTACAAAGAAAGAATTGAATGTTTTAAGAGAGATGAATGATTTAGAGAATGCTAAAGAAATAATGATTGTTGATGATTGAAAACGATTGGTGAGAATTGATGAATGATAGATGTAGATGATTGGTGAAAACGGAGTTTTTAATACGATATTTATAGAGAAAATCAGCCAAAAAGATAAATTAACAAAACAGAGTATGACGCTCAGAAAACAGGGCTGGCGCCAACCCTAGCTAGCTGGCGCCAGGCGCCAATGGCTAGCGCCAGGCGCCTGGCCTGGTTCCAGGCGCCAAGGCCTGGGGTTAGGCGCCAAACCTGATTCCAACGCGTTTTTAAAAATCCGATAAGTTTACCGTACTGGAGGATAAAAATAATATAATTTCCTCAAAAATGCTATTTGATTTTAATTAAAACTCTGAAAAGTCAATTTATCAATGCTAATTGGATTAGGAATGAATAGAACCTTCTAGAAGATTCTAGAAGACTAAAACCATTCCTAATTGCATTAGGAATGATAAATCATATTAGACCCTCCCCTAGATCATTGGGCCATATATAAAGCTCAAACCGGGCCCAGTTTGGTGAATTGGCCATAACTTCCTCAATATTCATCGGAATTGGGCTTATAATATATCGTTGGAAAGGTCTTTGCAAGCCCCATCCAACTACACTACTATTGGACCCATATCATGGACCAACCAAACTGGATTGACTGTTTTCTTAAAATAAGTTTTCAAAAACAGAGAGAAGAGAAAAGAAAATAAAACTTTCCGCAATCCGTCCTTAACGACGAAAAGTACAAAATAATATAAAAGTAATATGCAGTACGTTGTGGGGCCCACTTAAGCTCCTGATTTTATAAAATTTTGCAAATCAGGCTGATTGCCTGGGTTTAGCTCAACAAATTATAGTCGTTTAAGAGATTTTAGTCACAAAAATTATGTGACATCTAAAGTTGTGATAAGTGTCATTTTTTAACTTGTGCTTGTTTTTAAGTTGTGACTATTTACCATTGGTGCTTTTGGTCGCTGCTTTGGCATTTTGCTCCAAACAATCACTTTTTTTTTCTTTCTTTTTCTTTTGTTTTCTTGTTTACTTTCTGGCTCGTGGGCCGAGGCTTGCTTTCCTTTCCATAGAAAGGAAATGGTGGTTTCCTAATGATGACAGGATCCTTTTAGCAAACCTAACATCCATGAGGAAACTAAAAAGAAAACAAAAAGAGAGCAAAAAGAATAGATATCCTCTAAGAAAATAAGAAGAGAGCAAAAAGAATAGATATCCTCTTGAATGCTGGTGCTCTAGAGATGTGATTATGTATTTAGTAAACAATAATATTAGTGACAACTCTTGTGTTTAGATTAAAAAAAAAAAGGGATTATTCGTCGTAATCACTTATGTACTTGCACTAATTAAAGTGATATTAAAAGAATCGATAAAATAACATAAATGGTACGACTTTGAATAAATTCCAAATTCCAACTAAAAAGCAAATACTAAACTGTTTATAAACCACCTTCTACATCTTTAAGAGCATCAACTAAGCAAAGTATAGAGAGAGAAACAGACGCTCTAAGCTACTGATAGAGAGAGAATGGGCGGTTTACTGTCATCGCTTTTCGGCGCCGGCGAGGCGGTTGCGTCGGAGTCTACGCCGGAGGATTCATCGGAATCTCGAGTTCTTTCTTTCCACTCTACCAATCGATGGCAGCTTCACTACAATTCATTTAAAGATTCCGATAAATTGGTTCGATAATTTCTAATCCTTTTTTTTTTTTTTTTTTTGAATTTTGTTTATTTTTGTTGATGGAAATTTTTTGATCGGTGATTTGGAAAATGGAAATTCAGTTGGTGGTGGATTTTGCGGCGTCTTGGTGTGGACCGTGCAAGTTTATTGAGCCGGCGGTGAAGGCCATTGCTAACAAGTATCCTGATGTTGAATTTGCCAAAATCGATGTTGATGAATTGCCGGTAATTCTCTCCGATTTGCTTTATTTTGATGAATTTGTTCTATTAATTATGATTTTGTGTGATTTTTTATTTTTATTTTTATTTGTAAAGTGTTTCAGTGTTGTGATTAATTGCTGAGTGATATTAAATTGTTGTGCACTGTATAAGTATAAAAGTGTGGAATTGTATTAGCTTTTAGTACTCGTTTGATTTTAGGGATCATAAAACAAGAGAATTGTGAGTTTGTTTCGGTGTTATGGTAATGAAACAAGAGAATTGTGAGTTTGGTTCGGTGTTACAGTAATAAAACAAGAGAATTGTGAGCTTGGTTCGGTGTTGTGGTAATGAAACAAGAGAATTGTGAGCCTGGACGCCTGGTTCGGTGTTATGGTAATGAAACAAGGAGTTGTAAGACTTGTAACGGACTAAATCAGAGGCGAAGATAGAGGGGGCTGGTGGAGGTCTGGCCTCCAAGGCCCAGCTCCATGTAAAATTAATTATACTGTTAATAATTCTCAAGGTTTCGAGGTATCAATGTCTGCTTACTTTGACTATTTGTGCATCATGCTCATTTTTGTTTTGATCATGCTGTAAAGTATTGAAAATGGTGTCGGGGGTGGCTGTTATGACCAGCTTGCACCAAAAAGATGATGTCTTATGAATGGCTGAATTATGTTATGGTTTGCTTATGGATATGGATATAAAATTATAAATAGAAATTTATACATGAACTAAATACAGCTCACGGCATCTTATGCCCTAGATAAATTTTAATGGGCATTGATGTTTATGTAGGTTGAATTTTATAATTTAACGTGAATGGGTATTGATGTATTCATCTGTCATTTTGAAGTAGAGTTGATAGTCTGGAATTCTGGATATATGCTCTGTTAGGGAGTAGGAACTAGAGTTATGTACTGTATTTCCAGTAATAATCCCTTGTGTTTACCCTCTGTATTTGATTAGACTAGAAGATTGGAATTAAAAAGGGTTAAAAGAATTATTATGAATTAATAAACAGTTTTTTTGTGTTTCCTTCCGACTTATGTTTTCCTGTCATTTCTATAGAATCACCATTAAAGGATGTAGGATGCCACTGATTGAGATATGTTGAAGTAAAAAGAAAGGATTATGTTAAAATATTTTTAAGTTTGTGTTGCAAGTCATTCAAGTGATATCTAGGGGTATCCAGGTTTGCCTAATAAGTCTTGAAAAGAAACTGCTACTTGATTAAACAAATTTGAGGGAAATTTATCATCTATTATGAAGCTGAGATTGGGTGAGATTTGAGGATAATTTTTCTCATCAAAACAGACTATGAATCTAGGGGTTTACTGATATATTGGCACTGGACTGTTTAGGGCTGAGTTTAAAGTGGTCTCCATATTGGAGAAATTGTTTTTGTAAGTTTGAGAAGGTTCTGCTTTTATGATGGTTTATTGGTAACCTTAGAATAATCCATGGTGGCTGAAATATTTTGAGTTTGAACCTCAAGGTCATGAAAAAACTTGTCCACGAACAATTACAAAGATATATGGTCGGCCTTTCGTCCCTTGCAAAAGCTTGTACTTCGTATATAGTTTATTTGATTCTGGTCTCTCCCTAAGGTTTAATCTGAAGCAAGTTATTGAATTTGTATTGCTTGGAACCTTCTTTGTGGCATGAATGTGAGTACATGGGACTATGGGAGGCCTTAACTACATGGACTAAGGTTCAACGACTGTAAAGTTGGGAGAGTAGGCATGCATCTGTTTTATAAAAGAAAGAAACCTTAAGTAATGAAATTTATATCACAGCCAAGACCATTTTAGAAGCGACCATATAATACATCAAGTGAAGTGCTGAATCAACCAAGTATTTCAATTTAGGAATGCACCTAATATAGCCATTTGTACCACAAATCCTTTCTGTAGCAATAACGTGGGTGTAAGGGATGCTTTAATTGTGAAGCCAACATAAGTACATTGGCTGTAATTCTGGGAGAGTAAGCATACTGGAAACTCGACTGTCTACTGTCTAGTACATTAACTGAAGTGTATAGTTAATTATTTGAACTAAGAATGCACCAACACAAAAAGTCATCATGTCTTTTAAATCATATTGGTTATCCAGGGGATCTTAAAGAACATTCCTTGTATTCACAGGATGTGTGGAAATTTTGTAAGAATTTTTGCAGCCATTGCAGGCGGATCTGAATTGACTTCAGGCATACCTTTCTCTATAATTTTGCTGCTTTTGATATAGAAAGAATGCTGTTCTTTTTTATATCCGTATTATTGTTATTTCTACAATCTTGAGGTAACAAAGGAGCCATTGTTCTTTCACGAGTTTCACGTATAAAAAACGTAGGCTAATTTAACAGCCAGGCAAGTGCAAGGAATGGTATAGGCATTATAAAATGTTAATTTCTATTTGTGTTGTGGTGCACTGGTGCTTGTATACACAGTTTACCTATCAGCCTATCACATTTTTTTGTATACCCATTTAAAAAAGTCCACAATGATCAGTTATGGTTCTATAATTTTAATTCACGATTAAAAATCCATGATAGGTTGTTTGAACATTTAGCACCAAAACTAGTCATTTTGTAAATACATGGTGAGCTTTTGTTGTACTTATATTCCTTGGAATTCTTTGTAGGATATAGGTTTTATGTGCTCAGTTTGTATATCTTTTTCACTTGGTAGAAAAGTAGCCATAGAGAGTGCTATGTAGTGTTTTGATTTCAAGTATCTTGACTTTTTTTAGCATATAGAAAGTGCTATGTAGTGCTTTGGTTTCAACTCTTGTTTGCACTTTGTTTTTTTTGAAATGGTAATCGACAATTATGCTTTTGCCCTTTTACATAAATCTTCTAAATTTAATTTGGATCATGCTTGAACTTTCTTCCCTATTGCGCTCTCACCCTTTTCCTATCCCCTTCATTTTGGACTTCTTTACCTGATTAAGATATTTGGTCAGACCTGAATGCTATTCTTTTTTGCATTGTATATTCATGGTATTTATTCTCTGTTTGGGTGGTGGCAACTTGTATTCTTTTGAGTACCTGTTTATGAAATCTGGTTTATCACCAAGCACTAAGTAGTACCCCTTGCATTCAGAATTTTACATTATGGATTTTTTACAGTTGGTCTATTTCTATTCATATTAACTTGGTCAAAGTAGTGCATAGTGGAAAATCTAATTTTGTAACCTGTTAATTGATAAACTTTCTAATTCTGGACAGAGGGGGTTTATTTTATATTGTCACCTGTGAAGGAGAATTTGGGGGAAAAAAAATTAATATGCTGTTTTGAGAAATGATCTAAACTGATGTTAAGAACTAAGAAAAGAAATTTTTCACCATAGTACAAAAAAGAAATGAAGCAATATCTTATAAATTCAGGAGTATCACCATCAATTCTTGGCTTGGTAATGCATAGAGTGTACTAGTCTGTTATTTAGCACAATTGTAGACCTTTTACATTTTGCTAAATTTGGAAACGTATCCTGGAGGGATTAATGGCCATTCTAATTGTGAAGATTTATTTGGACTAAAGATTGGGAAACCATCAATGTACTTCGTATGATGATTTATGTATATGTTCTATATTGAAATTGTTTAAAATGGTACTGAAACCCAATTTTTCCTCTATAGGATGTGGCCAGGGAATTCGAGGTGCAAGCAATGCCAACATTCATCTTTCTTAAAAAGGGAAAGGTGGTGGACAAGGTGGTTGGTGCCAAAAAGGATGAACTTGAGCAAAAGATTGCAAAGTGTGTGTCCTCGTAATTAATGTTCTAGTAACTGGCATTAGGTGCTGCCCCTGAGGCATATGTACTTGGCCACTTGGGAGATTGCTAAAGTTGTTTTCTTCAGTATGATGGTGTTCTTACGATTATGCGCATTTTGTCAATATGTTTACATCCTTTGATACACCAGCATGTTATTGATTATGCAACTGTTATCCATACGTTTGAAATGTTATTGATTGTGCTCTTTCTCGTGAAATTCTGTCCATATGTTTGTTCATTTTTATCGTTCTTGCGCCATTCAGCTGGTTGATTCAATTCTAGGTATTTCATCTTTTCTTTGTGCGCGTTGTATTAGATGATATGTTTGCATTCATGCAGCCAGCAAGACATAGTTGTTTTGGGTTGATGATCGCATGCCTTTGTGTGTGTGTGTGTGTGTTTTTGGGGTCTGGCTCTAATTGTTCGTGCATTCGTGAACTCCCCAAAGGCGTCCATTGAATTCTTTATTTCTAACTTGGATGTATAATGCAGTTATAATTGTATGATATATTTTTTAATCACACGAACCTGAAATCCGCACAGCACACAACATTTTATAGAGCTGTCTGTGCTTGCTTATTAATTTACTTTCTCAGGGGAAAAAATTCTACTTCGTATTTAACTTAAATTTGGTACATGTAATCAGTATTGTTCATTTGTTTTTGCAACTGCAAATATAAGATGGCTATTCTACATGTCTTCTGAAGGAGTAATTTTGAATTGAGAGGCAGATATACAAAGGGTGTCTTTCCAATTGTGTTGCATATTAGCATTTGTAATTCCCCTCAAACAAAATTCAGTAAATAGCGACAGCCAGGACGGTTCGAAAGAATAGTAGAACACCTAAGAATTAAGAAAACAATTAAGTGTGATAATAATGATAATGATATGGTTCCTGAAAGCCATAGTATCACAAAATCCTTTTAAATATTCGGACTAATTTACATCACAAATATCACCACTTACCAGCTGATTATATGGCACATAAACTATTTACATTATAGTAGTAAACCAGCATTTGTTACATAGTAATTACTAGAATGAAGCAGAAAATAGTAGTGTAACCACTGTCCACTGGTACATTGCCACCAACAGATGCCATATTGATTCTTCCACAAAGGCTTTGCAATCTGGCTTTGACTGTTGTATTCTGCTTCTTGTCAATATTATAAAGCCACACGGCCCACACCAGATTATGTACAAAGAAGGGAAACTGAATCATCCAACTATAACCTATTCATACTGTGTATGCCTGCTGAATTGTATCAATATCAAGACCCTTCAGCTTAATCACCGACTCCACATGTCCTTTCAGAGTATGCAGCTCACGAAGCCTGACACAAATGAGGGAAAAATCATTCACGAATTTTGTACCAAGGCAAAGCAACTCTTTGTAGGAGAAGAGAAAGGTTCTACTCTGATCACAAGAATAATTTCCCATGCTAGGAAGGATTCGAGGTGATGATATTGAGGCTTGTTTGGACCTAAGTGACTTAAAATGGTACTATCTTCGTCCCTAAAAATATGCCACAATTAATTTTGGGTCTATTTTACAGAGTGAAGGACTAGGAGTCTAGGACAATAGTTATCTTTCAATATTTATAAAAATCAGAGTATGCATCACCATCAATCTCTTAATATTAAAAAGTTCAAAATTTTAACTCACAATGAGTAGAAAAGAAAAAATAAAATCATTGCCTACAATTTTGTTAGACTATCTAGTTTAAGTGATTAGTAAACATGCAGCGATGGACAGATAATGGCTTAGAACTTCAGACGGACAAGAAAGACATGCACAACTGCACATATTGTTACATAGCAGTTCTAACTAACTGGTTGGGGATCAGTGGCGGACTTGGGCTTAGACCTGGTGGGTCAAGTGACTCACCAGGCCCAAAAAAAAATTTTAAGTTAATTTTAAAAAAAAAAAAAAAAAAAAAAAAAATCAGTTTTCCCAAATTCACGAATTCAGTATTTCAGTTCATGGCCTTCAATCCTTCATGCCCTAGCCAATTCGCCTCTTCCCTAATTCCCTTCAAGGCTTCAATCCTTCGCCATCATCAATCACCTATTCACCTCCATAATCGCCTCCTCCAGTCCTCCTCTTCGCAGTTCGCAACTCGCAACTTCGCAAGTAAGCATCTTCCTCACTCCTCAGTTAGTCAGTTCCTCTTCGCAGACTCGCAGTTCGTGCCTTCGACCCTTCGTCTTCCTCTTCGCATAAATTCAGGTGAGGTTAGTCTTCCTCTTCGTCTTCCTCAGTTAGTCTTCATCTAAATTTGTTTAATTGTTGATAACTTGATAACTTGATTGTCTTGATAATTGCTTGATTGCTTCGCTAATCGCTAGACGCCCAGTGGCCCTAGACGCTGCCTAGACGCCTACTGAGTACTGATTATTGTTAATTGTTAATTTTGTTATATATTGTTGTGATTTTGTGAATTGTTCAATGAAATTCTGAATGGTGAATTTGTGAAATGTTTGACACTTTAGTTCCTCTTCGTCTTCCTCAGTTCCTCTTCGCATAAATTAATTAATTAACTTAGTCTTCATCTAAATTTGTTTAATTGTTGATAATTGATATTACTTGTTAGTTATGAATTAGTAATACTAAATTTGATTCTTTGAACCCTAAATCCCTAATTGTTCAATAATCAACTCAATTGTTCAATAATCAACTCAATTTCAATAATCCCTAATTGTTGTGATTTTGTGAATTGTTCAATGAAATTCTGAATGGTGAATTTGTGAAATGTTTGACAATTGACACTTTACATACTTGTTCAAGCTGTGATGCTGTGATGCTGGCCTGCTGCCCTGTGAGCTTGTGATTTCAAGCTGTGAAATGGTGAATTTGTTAATTGTTCAAGCTGTGATACTGCCTGCTGGCCTGCTGCTCGCCTAGTCGGCAGTCGCCTGCTGCCCTGCTCCACTGCTCGAGAGTCGAGAGCGTGCTCTGCGCTCACCGCTCTTCGCTTCGTCGCTTCTTCTAAAGTCTAATCTCCTATTCTCATTTTGCTAGTAAGTTGATTTCTAATTTTTAGTTTAAAATTCTAATCTTCAATTTAATCAAGTCTAATTAGTTAATTCTATTAAACTTTGGTTGATTTGTTAGTTGTTCACTTCAAGTCTTCAATCACTTGTTTGTTTGGTAAACTTTGAACCTTTTGTTAATGAGTAATGACCTTAATGTAATAATGTTGTTGGGTTTTAGATGAAGTTTGAACCTTTTTGACCATGTGAATATGTGATTATGTGAATTGTGGTTTGTTTGGTAAAATGATCTTTGTAAATAATTTTTCTGGGGAATTTTGCTTGCTTTAGTTGATTATTTATTCAAATTTCAGAATGAAGAGAAAACGCACTCCAAATGAACTGCAAAACATTACTAGCTTCTTTGCTAAAAAGAATCCTACTTCAACTTCTCTTCCACATCCCACACAAAATGAACAAACTATATCTCCACCTCAACAGAGTGAACAAACTATATGTCCACCTCAAGAAAGTGAACAACATTCATCTCCATCTAATTATTCCACTCAAAATTCCCCTCAAAATGAACAAGGCCAATGTTCTCCTAATGCCCCAATCTTTGGTGAAAGATTAAGTGAACATGAATTTGCTAATCTTCCACAAGATCCAGGAAAGAGGATACTTGATTATCGATTGTGAACATGAATTTGCTAATCTTCCACATACATTTGGTTGTATTTTGTACTGTTTTGAATATTTGGATGTATTTTTTAGTACTATTATTTGGTTGTTCGGTAAATTTTTTTTTTTAGATACTTGATTATCGATTGTGACTCACCAGTCGGAAATTCCTGGGTCCGCCACTGTTGGGGATAGGTTTTTTGTAATAAAGACTAACCTTGCAATTTCAGCTCGTCTCTTTGCCTCTTCGGCCATTTGGTTAAGCTCTGAAACACGGCTTCGGTCAGTAAACATCTTGGTTTCAGGTGGATGGAGCCCATGAAGTGTCCTTTGAGCATGAGCCCATTTGAGTTCCCTTGCTTCTTTACCAAAGTCCTTTTGTCTTGTGAAGGCAATCTGCAAAATCCAGATTAAGGTTTTTAATCACCCCTTTACTTTTTCATTCTATTTTATAGCAACTTTGAGATGGGCTGCAGTCTTACTCTTTGCTCAAGTAGAAGATCCCATGCCTTCCCGCTGAGAGCATACCGGGTAGCAAACTTGATAATATCAAGGGGAAAGTAGAAGACAAGGTTGTAAAGCCATATTACACCAGCCCAACCCCATCCAATTCCCTCTATTGCAGCAAAACCCCAATTTGCATACACAGCAATCAGGGTTGCGATCTGTGAACCAGAAAATATAATAATAATAATAATAATAATAATAATAATAATAATAATAATAATAATAATAATAATAATAATAATAATAATAATAATAATAATAATAATAATAATAATAATAAATAAATAAATAAATAAATAAATGAATAAACAACATGAATAATAATAATAAATAAATGAATAAACAACATGAAGAGGAGAGAGACAAGACTCTAAGCTTGTTGCTAAGAAAAAGTGGCTCAATTACCAGCTGAGCAATGATAAAAGCTGATACTAGCAGCAGACCAGGGCGCTCAACAAATGACCAGCTTCTAGACCGAGTGACAAATATTAGGGCCTGACTAATGATGCTGACTTGTAGGTATATCGCTGAGGCAAGCTTTCTGTAGTCATCATGAGCTGTTTTTTCAAGAGTTGGCACTCCAAATGTGCGCTGCATAAGCAAATGGACAAAAATAATCATGTTAGCTTAAAAAATATCCAAGAGGGAGAGGAGGAGGAGGGAGGTTCTAAATTTAAAGTGTCAAGTCATGTAAATGGAAAAATAAGAGATGTGGGGACTTTGTGAGATAAAAGGATCTTTATTGAGAGAGATATGCTCCAAGTTTAGGAAAAAAAACACAAAAACAAAAAGGGCAAGAATGCTGAATTGAGCCTTCGAAACGCAAGAATACTCCCTCAGAGATCAAGTTACTAAGATTTTATAAGAAAAGTCATGCAGAACTGCAGTCTGCAGAAGTAAAGAAATAAAAAGTTTTGGTATCAGTAAACTGAGTGTTTATTTCCAGAAATCACATTAGATTCCTTTATTCATTCATGACTGAAGTTCTCATCAGGAATGATAAAAAAGATTAATATAAGAGAGAGTAGGCTTTTTGGGAAGGTGATGCTTGGAAAAACATCAGAATCAACATATATTGGAATAATCTACCGTTTTGCACATGCAACATATACATAGCAAGAAGACTAAGGATATCGGAACTCTTGACCAAAACTGGTAACTGAACAAACCAAACAAGCACAGAGCGCATTCAGCGCAAAACAGATTTGCATGTCTCATATAGCTGAATAAAATTTGAAAAGAATATACAACATACAAAATTTTAGAAGATTCAGAAGGAATGAAGGTGAAGATAGATCTATATGATCTGATAATGTCTTACAGGGAAAAAGTCGGTTTTATATGCAGCCCAGAAGAAAATGACAGTCATCATTGCTAAGTAACTGCCAAGAACAATTCCAGTGGTAAATATTTCCGACAACTTCCAACTATCTGGCTGGGGGGAAGGTTTCACCCGATCTTTTGATATCGTCATGATTGTACCTGAACATTCCAAAAGGCATGAACCATATAATATCCTTCAACTTGGTTAATGGTAGCATATACTCTAATATAATAAAACAATCTCTTTAGTATTGAGGCTCAAGAGAAGGGGGGGAAAAACTGTTTTTTTTTTTTACTCTGGCCTATTAATTTTCACCGAAGCACTGTTCTACAAATCTATACTCCAACATTGCAAAGTACACAATAACAACTGAACATAATTATCTGTCACCAGCAATATCTGAAAATAGACAAAGAACAATAGTGTGCAAGAGTGGCTAAGCGTAGGAATAATATAGATGAAAGTACTTTAAGTTAGAAAATTAGCAGCATAATAATGAAGAATTAAATATTCAGTTTTTCAAACATTCGGGCAAAATACCATGAAAGTACTATAAGCAAACGTTTAAAAACATTTGCTGTTTACAAATATCCAAATATTCAACATCATACTTGATAGTTGTACGAATAATCATACTCAGTATTATACAGGAATGTTAGATTGCTAATGATAAACATGAAACTCGTGAAGAACAGCAATTAACAGCGTATAATTACCAACGAATGTCATGGGAGAGAACTACTAACCATCATTAAGGATTGCAATGATCAGTACCATGAAGGGTGGGAAGTCAAATTTCCATATGAGAGCCAGTAGCATGAACCCTAACTGAGAAAGGATCCAAAGAGATTATATAAGAAAAATAGATAAACATGCAGACCATAAAAAGCTGATTTAGTACTAGCATCAAAGAAAAAGAAAAGGAAAATTAAGGGAAAAAAAGGTATAGCAATTATCCAAAACTATACCAAAGATAAAAAGCTTACCACTATACGGATGGTAATAGAAACTGCATAGATCTGCAATAAAGAATGGCATGCACTTGATTAATTGTTGACATCATAAAATGACAAAGGTCACACATTCATGGATCCTAGAGGTTTGACAACCAATTTGGCAATCTTACCATACCTTACGGAATAAATGAGGAACCACAATTTTTCTATGCACGCAAGTACAAAAAACAATTCACTCTTAAGTTTGGAGCCCAGCTGCATGTTGCTAGGATCCAATGATGATAAATTGGTTTGACAATTACAACATCGATTAGTTACTACTTCATATTTCATCTTCCAAAAGGAGGCTTACCGTGTAATTCTTCATCCTCTGGAAAATGGCCCTACTTGTCAAGACTGCACTTATGATGACACTAAGCCCGGGTTCTGTCAAGACAATGTCAGAAGCACTGCGAGCTGCATCAGTTGCATCTGCAACAGCTATGCCTATGTCAGCTTTTTTAAGAGCGGGAGCATCATTTACTCCATCACCCGTCATTCCACATATATGTTTTCTTGCTTGCAAGCGTTTCACAATCTCATATTTATGCTCTGCAGGAAGAGATGTAAGTATCAGTCATCAGTGTATCATCTATAAGGAGACAAAATAAATGTGGTAACAGAAATACAGAAGCAGAGCAAGATCTGTGAAGTAATAAATTATCCTACAATCCTACATAGTACAATGACTTCATCTTATTTATCTTCTATAATGAAGTTCAAGGCTTCAAGCACTTTATTTCTAGCCTAAAACAATCAGCCATTCAAGTCTTCGTTTAGGTTACAGGCTGCTATCATACATGAGAATATTGATAAAAACAAGTTTTATCCACTTCTGATGTCAACTCACTCAGTTCACTCAGGAAACCATTTTAATAAATAAATAAATAAATAAATAAAAAATAAACAAAATGTATTGATAAAAGATGTAGCTCCAAGTACTTGTAGAAGTACATTTCATGTACATTACTCTGTCTAGTCTGGATGGAAACTCAATCCAGCATGAGGGAGCAGCAAAGATAAACATACCAGGAAAAACACCAGCAAAACCATCTGCTTTCTCGATCAACTCATCAACAGGTAAAGCTACAAGAGACTCATCCTTCTCCTGTCCTAGGAGTGCTGCAGAAGGATACATATTGGTACCCATTCCCAGACGACGCCCTGTTTCCTTGGCAATTGCCAATTGGTCACCTAGCATGATCATATGGAAAGATCAATAAATGGTAATACAGTCTAGACACCAGCATAATAAGAAAATTCCTCATCCATGAGAGAACTTCTTCTTGCTAAGACATACCAGGTGTACTCATTAAATAAGAGAAAAAATTTAATTGACACTAGTCTAACATATCACATATAATTGGAACAACAAAAGGAAATCAGGAGCAAGAATATTACATTTTAATCATCACAGACAGTCTACAACTTCAGATTTCACAGGACACATCTCTTTTTCAGTAATACTTGTATATGAAGTAGCTCTCCACATTTACTATCAATAGAGTTGAATACAGTACCAAAAGCCAAGCTAGGTAAACTGTGACCTCTAATTGCGATTTTGTGAAGTAACAAGAAGGTGACTGCTAAAGTTTACTAATTTGCTCACATCAGTGATAAAAAGCAAATGTGATATGTATAAAGGACAGTGAAAGGAAGGTATGCACCTGTAATCATTTTTACACTAACCCCAAGGTCTAGTGCCCTCCCTATTGTTTCTGCACTATCATGTCGTGGTGGGTCAAATAGAGGAAGGAGGCCAATAAACTGCCATGGACCTCCAGAGCTTTCCTTTTTACCATCAGGAACCTCCTGCATAAACATCTCAGACATACACCTCAATACATGTTCCAATAGAAAGAAGTCAGGACAAAATTAAAAAAAAATATAATAAAAAAAAAGGAGGAAAGAGAAAGAAGACATAAAGGAAATACATATAGGCAGAGAACAATGGTTACCTGGTATGCCACAGCAAGAGACCTTAATCCTCGCTCTGCATACTTATCAATCACTGCATGAACTCTGCGCTCTATCTCCGATTTATTATAAGCAAGATTTAAGATCTAGCAATAAGCCAAATTGTGAATATAAACGCATCAAACTTATTGAAAATAGAGAAAAAGGGTAAAATTTGATAATACCTGTTCTGGTGCACCTTTGCTAACCCTATGCATTTTCCCATCACTGTCAATGTATGTCAGAGCTGTACGCTTATCAGTTGGATTAAAAGGAAGGAAGTGAACTTCTTGAATGCCTAGGCGAGCCTTTTCATTGGGGAAAGAGTATAATGAGAGCAGGACAAAATAAGGTGAAAAACTGAAAAACCATGTTTCTTAATATTACTTAGATTACCTCCTTTGGATCAGCTAATGTCCCAACTATAGCAGCATCAATTGCATCTTGGTTTTCCATTCGAGAGGCTCGAGCAGCCATCAATACCATTGTATCTGCATCAATTCCTTTGACGAAAACCTGCAGTAATATTCAAGTTTAAATGGTGCTAATAACCTAATATTGTTTAATCTGGGGGAAAAACTAAAACAAGCAATTTAAAAGCAAACCAAACCTCAACAAGGTTCTTGTCAACAGACAATTTATTTAATGTCAGAGTTCCAGTTTTGTCACTGCAAAGTACATCCATGCCTGCCATTTCCTCTATAGCTGTCATTCTCTTCGTTATTGCACCCTAACGGATACAGAAATATAGCTCAGAGCCAATCAATCGAAGCCTTAATCCTATAGCTTAGAGTCTAGAATATAAGAAAACAAAATTAATTTACAACCATAACCTTTGAACTAAAATGTTACTGCTACTTGTAACCAACCTGCTCGGCTAAACGATGAGAACCTATAGCCATGGTAACAGACAAAACTGTTGGCATAGCAATAGGAATTCCACCAATGAGAAGCACCAATAAGTTATCAATTCCTACACGATATTGACGGTGTTGAATTGGGTACATAACTATGATCTCCACCAGCATTCCCACAGCAATAGAACAAATACAGAAGTTTCCTATAGCAGTCAAGACCTACAATAAAACCCAATAATATTAGACATGCAAATACAACTAAGATACCTCATCCTACTACGGTATCTGGGGGGCTTCAACACTCAATTGATAGAAAGGAATACAACAAAATCAACCAAAAAAAAAAAAGTAAAACACAATGTATAACATGTACAGTCTAATCATGCATAAGAAAGAAACCTTGAAACTCAAGAATCTAATGCACAAGACAGAAACTGGCCAATGATATCAGAACTGGTAAGCAAACTTGTAGCCTTGTAGGACCTGAGGCCCTGAGTAACTGGTATCCTTAATGAAACTCCTACTCAGTTCTTCGATAGCTTCTAGCCTCTTATCTCAACAAACTTATGAGAGTTGCCACATAGAAAGGGCATAACTGAATTCAATTGTAAAACAACTTTAACAACTAGATTATCATTACTTGTACACTTAAGACCTTAAATCTCTATAATACAAGCCAGCTCTTGATGATTTTTGTGTTAACATGGCCCTTATAGGTATTTTATGATATTTGAAGCATGCATTGTGTGCAGACCTAGTACATTAATCCAGGAGTAAAGTATAAGGCATGTAAATTTTTATACATCTAAAACTGCATTTAAATTATTCACTTATTTATACTTTTGGAACTCTAATATATCCGCTAACAAAATACAAGTTTGAAGAACATGTGGAATTGTGGACACATTAAACAAAGTAAATCACAGATTAAAACAGTGACACAAAATATGCAAGAATTACGATGAGTGATTTTATCAACATTCAACAATAAAGCTTCTGATATCTGCCTCTTTGATTAAAAATCATTTTACCAATTAAGTACTGTATATATTTATATTAGATGAAGAATACAAGAAATGGGTGAGAAACAAAATTATCCCATCAATTAAAGATGATTTCAGCTAAGCTAAGGCCCTGTTTGTCCTATACCCCATTGTAGATTAAGATTTTTAACGCATTACTTTGATACGTCAAGCAATGAGTCAGATAAAGCAGACCCTTCGACCTAGCTTAAGACTTCAGATAAAGGTTTTCTAACAAAACATATTACTTTGTTAAATCAATCATGTACAAGCAATGAGTCAGATAAAGTAGCCCTTCAGCCTAGCTAAAAACTTCACTCATACAAATTGATCCCTTCAAATAATAGACTTGACCTCATAGTTCTTTAGGTCATATAGTATCACTCACCGTTTGGAAGTGGCCAACTTGGTTTGTGGAGTCTACAAGGTGAGCAGCCTTGCCAAAGAATGTATGCACACCCGTTGCAATGACCACAGCTTCTATCTCTCCCTGTTTGCATGTAGAGCCTGAATAGACACCATCGCCAGTCTGTTTGGTCACCGGTAGTGACTCACCAGTGAGTGAAGACTGCACCTCAGACAAAAGAATGGTCATCAGAGATCTTAAGAGAAAGAAATTCGTCAATGTACATGGCATAAAGGTTACATCTCAAACACCTGATCAATCTTTAAAGGATCACCTTCCAGGAGACGAGCATCAGCTGGGATGATATCACCAAGCTTAATAGAGATAATATCACCTGGAACGAGTATAGCTGCATCCTGCTCACTCCACTTTCCATCACGAAGCACCTACAAGTGTACAACTTCACATGTTAAAAGGCCATCACACTATCATAAAATACCACTAGTAATATAGTACATTAAAACATACCTTAGCTTTAGGAGCCAGGCGTGCCATAAGAGCAGCTGCAGCATTACCTGCATTAGTCTCTTCTATATAACTAATTGTTGAGTTGATAAACAAAAGAGTGACAATTCCAACAAAGTCCTGCCAATCAGGAGGCTTCCCCTGCAAAATCAAGGTAGCTTATTGCTTCGAGTTCTCGAAAACTAAAGATGACCAGCTTGTCTAGAATCTTTTTTCACGAACAGCTTGCCATGAATCATGATATGGTATGTAATCTAAAAAACATACAAAGGCATTTACCCACTAGTGCCCACTATTTTTTCCTTTTATAGTATGAAATTAAGTAGAAGACCTTTCTATGGTCTAGAAGACCTAACTATGGTCTAATAACCCAATAATGTGATTGCCTTACACAACAAGCACCACCCAACCATTCTGCATTACTATCAAGTACCAACCCAATACAAGACGAGAATATCTTCCTATGTTCACGCACAGCTGCACACTCTTAAAACTGACAAGAAATTTAAGGGAGGGAAGGGAGCATTTTCTAATACTCTCTATGCCCTAAGTAATAGCAACATTTCAGTTTTAGACAATCTTAAAAATATTAGGCTACTATTTTTTTAAAAAAATGTATACAGTTTGATTTTAACTTATCCCATATTAAATAAAGTATTAACTTAATGATACCATTGACCTAAATTTTGAGCTCATTGATATGGTGGACATTTAAAATTTGAAAAGTCAAGGACAATTATTATATTTTTAAATATGATTCCTCTAAAATGAACCTCATATACTTTGTATATATGATGCACAATATTTTTAAAAGGGACCAAGGGAGTAATATATAAGCTACCAAATAAACATAGTAGAGGGCTTACTCCTCCATTAGCAAGAGCTATAGCCATTATCGCGGCAGCTTCCATCACCCAAGAAAGAGGATTCCACATGAATCCAAGGAACTTCAGAAACTTACTCTCCTGCATTATTAAAGTTCCAGGGGTGTAATATGTTAATTAAAGGGCAATCACAAAGTTCCAACTCTTAGCAACAAGAAATACTAGGAAGGAATGGTAAGACAAATGAACCTCCTTCTCTTCAAGCTTGTTGGGCCCAAAAATGTGAAGTCGTTCTTCAGCAGCCTCAGACGTAAGACCATCTCGACTACACCTTAATTGCTCAAAGACCTCTTCTAGAGGAACATTCTCCTGCAATTACATTATTCACATCAGGAAACAGTCCAGAGAACTCAACTGGTTGAGACGTTTGACTCATAATTGATAATTCAACATGCAAGGTTATCTAAAAATTAGGCAAAATTACACTAATATGAACTATGGTTCTACTACAACTAGGGACATGAACTTGTGTGCTTGTTCACATAATCAAATGGACATCAACTAAAGACACACAGCCATAAACTGAATATATAAAGCTAGCAACGTCACCAAAATGGGCTTTAATGACCAAGTTTAAGTAATTGATCTGTGTCTTTATACTGTTCATATCACTAATGATCTTTAATGACCAAGTTGATGTCAATCTAATAATAAAAATATGTTCATGTCAATGATTATATTTGGGTCATTGTGCATATCAATAAGTGTAACTAAGCCTAAATCTATACAGTAATATTTTCTGACAACAATCACAAAAATTTCCTAGACTTGGAAAATTAAAAATTAAACTTGTCAAACTTCATATGAAAAAATCTCCCACCTAAACTATTATTGACATCATCTTTTTTTTTTCCCTCCTAAGTTCCAAGAGTAAATAAATACTTCTAAAAAAATGAGATTATTACTACACGTTTTTCGAATATTGAATACTATTTTAAGCAAATAATAGTTATTTAAATTGTGCACTAAATCTAGTAAGGGCTTGTTCTGATTTACTGAACTGAATTAATTGGAGCTGATCTCATAAACTAAACTAAACTGAATAGAGCTTAAATGAATTGTTTATGAGAGTAGAAAATTAAGAACTAAACTGAACTGAATTTATTGAAGCTGAACTGGCAGGCCCTAATACTAATGCTAAGAGACTGAAATTAAAATGATGACATAAATTTTATTTTATTTTTCAAATATCATGAAACAGGGTAAGGATAATAAAAAGAAAATCCAGAATAAAAAAAAATGCTTAAACCCCAAAACATCACTATATCCCAAAAATCAAAACTGAGGAAGAAACTGCAGCAAGCTAGCAACAGAGAAATCAACAACAAAATTTGAAAAATAACGGTGAAACACATTATCATACCCAGAAACTGAAACTATGAAAATAGTAATAACCCAAAAACTGATCATGAAAACAGAGTAGACCTTAAACAAAATTAAAAACTCCACGAAAAAATCCCAGGATAAAAAAAAATAGAGAAACCCAAGACACATTAATATCTAATACGAAGCAAGTATAGTAGCCCATAAACCCAAAATAACCCATGAAACCCCAGAAAGCAAAAATCATGGAAATTACAAAAATGCAGAAATCATGAAAAACCCAGAAACAAAACCATGCAAAAACAGTAAAAATTAAAAGCAAAAACCATGAAAAATCCAGAAACCAAACCATACAAAACATTAAAAATTAAGAGCAAAACCATGAAAAATGATCATACCAAATCTACAGCTTCCTTCAAAACAGCTTCCATAGTTTCCTTAGAGTCACCCATTTTCAACTACTTCTCTGCAAATTGTTATTTTTAATCCCAAAAACAGAAGAACAATCAAGTAAAATTATATAGCAAAAAAGTTGAACATTCTGGAGATTATAAGATGAAGAATAATGTGATTTATCAAAAAGGAAGAAGTTACTGAAAAAATGGTGGGTGCAATACTTTGCTCACTTCACTGTTATTATACGTTTTTTTTTTTTTTCTATTTCCTTTATTTTGGGGTATTGTGTTGGTGTTGAATTTGGTTTTCTCTAGAAAGGAAATGGAGGATTCTAGTATTTGTCGTGAGTGTGAGAAATTTTGGAAAAGGGTGGGGCGTAACTAGTAACAGGATGGTAGGTACAACTATTTGATCACATTTTCTTTCATTTTCATTGTCCTGCAGTGCGCATATATTCTTTCACAATCATCAGTTTTTGTACTTCACGGGAGTGAAACAACATATAGTTATCAAAAATTTGTTTACGGAATTTCGTAACGTTTGATCATTTTTATTTAGGACTTGTTCATTATCGTTGTGATTTTTTGGCTAATGATGATAATATGGTTTATAAAGTACTCCATTATACAATAATTAATCAATCCATCAATCATAACTTAATACTAAAACGTACACCGGGAGGAACACGTGCCATATCCTAGTGTTGTTTTTCCCTCCAAAACCCTACTTTTCTTTTTTAATAATTTTTTTTATATAAATATTTCATACAATTATAATAATATCATTCCAAATCTTTATATTATCTTTATGACAAAAATATAGGACTTTTTATTTGGTTTCCATAATTCTTCAATACGCATTTACCTAAATTATTATTCCAACTCCTTTTTAATTATCTGATAAACGGAGTAATAGTAGATTTTGCTAAAAAGGTAATACTCCGTAACATAATTGATTCATAAAATTGAGGAAAATTTGACATTTGCTACTTGCGAAAGCACCTTGCTTCACATTTACTACCGCTTTAATTTTTTATTTTATTTTACTACCACCCAAATCCCAAAGTTATAGATATTGCTACCACTTAACGGAATTTAATTTATTAAAAAAATATTAAAAAAAAACTTTTTTTGAAACTCTTCCCAACCACCTCCCCCTCCCCGTCAACCACCATCCCCCTCCATGTGCCAAATTTCGTTGTTCGTGCCGACGCCCAAACGGTCCCCCGACACCGGCAAACTCCACCACCACCATTTCCCAAAGTCCACGCTGCCGAAACCACCCTGAACGTGTGAATTCGAAACCCTAAAATCCATTTAAGGTGGTTTCAAGGAATGGGTTTAAGGTATCTGGTGCTAGTTTTATGGTGGGGGAAGGGGAGGGGGTCGATTCAGATAGGGAAAGGGGAAATCTGCTGTTTCCAAGGCTCGATTCAGGTTGGGGAAAGGGGAAATCAGTCGTTTTCGGCTCGATTCAGGTTGGGGAAAGGGTAAATCGGTCTTTTCCAGCTCGATTCAAGTTGGGGAAAAGGGAAATCGATCGTTTCAGGCTTGATTCAGGTTGGTCAGCTTTGTGTCTGTCGCCGTTTTTGCAGAATTGCAGTGGTGTGGTGGTGTGGGTTGGACAGGTTGGTCATGGTGGTTTTGAGGCAGCATTGATGGGGTAAATGGATGGGTGAGGTTGCTAGCGCCTGAGAATCGTTTATGCACCGGCGTTGATGAGGAAATGGAGGTTGGACGGTGGCAATAAGGGTGGTTGAAGATGGAGCGGTAGCTGGAAGGTGGCATTGAAATGGTTGGATAGTGGTTGGACCCTACTAACAGAAATGGTAACGGCACAAGCCTAAAGGTAGTGATATCTATAACTTTGGGATTTGGGTGGTAGTAAAATAAAATAACAAATTAAAGCAGTAGTAAATGTGAAGCAAGGTGCTTTCGCTAGTAGCAAATGTCAAATTTTTCTAAAATTGATATTAAAGAAATTACTTTTAAGCATCACTTTTATTTGTTAGTTATAATTATTTTTTACATGGCACAGGGCCTAAGCTAGTGTTCCTACTAAGGTGAAGTGGATAGATTATTTTTTTAGGAATCTTAAACTACCCGCAAGATAGGGTGATTTGTAAACAACTACTTTTTTTTTTTTTACCATTACCCGCAAGTTTGAAAACGTTTGTATATCACTACCCATTAACGTTTTCCGTCCAATTTTCACGCATATTCTTAGGTGCACACTCATGCACCTAAAAATAGGTGTAATAAGAGCACATTATGAACATTAGCTTTTGAGAAAGTGAACATTAGTTTTCTTCTCCTCTATTTTTCTCCTTCGTTTTTTATTTTCTCTCTCCTCTGTTTTTTTTTTTAATTTTCTCCCTTTTTTACACTTTTTTAATTGAATTGTTACTTACAACATGAAAGTAGTTATTAAGTATGAATTTTTGTGTGAATTTCGATTTTGTGCTTTAATTTCGATTGATTAAGGTTTATATGAATCTTTGAATTCACAAATTATACTATGTTTTTTCTCATTCCTTCTTTAATTTCGTTTCCCTCTTCTTCTTTTTTTCTATTTTTCTCGTTTTTTCGATTTAACGATTGAATTTGTTCCTTACAATATGGAATTGGTTGTTTATCTGATTTTTTGAATTCATATGAATTGAATTTTTTTTAGCTTCGATCAATTTCATCTGTGTATGAATTTCATCTGATTTTCCGCATTTTTTTTATCAATGAACATAATCATGCAAATATATGAACATATGCATAGGTTCCCTTAAATGTGAACATTAACTGTTCAGAAAGTGATGAACATATGCATTTAAGAAAGTAAACATAACAATTCAAAATATGAATGTAAGCATTGGTTTCCTTAAAGTGAATATAACCATTTAAAAGGTGAACATATATGCGTAACAATTATGAACATATGCATTTAAGAAAGAGAACATATGCATAAATAGACTTAATGAGAATTTTTATGAACAACAAATATTGACTATGAATATTTACATTATGAACATATAAAATATTATTATGAATATAAGGCATTGAATTATGAACATAAAAAATTGAAGAAATAAAAAATAATATGATTATGAAACATATGCATCATAAGTATGAAAAATATGAACATATGCATTCAAAATATGAACATATGCATTGGTTCATTTTTTAATGCGTATGAACTTAATTAAGCACTTCAGTAGGTGAACATATACATAAAAATATATGAACATATGGATTTAGAAAGTTAATATAAGCATTTCAGAAAGTTTACAAAATGATTCAAAATATGAACATAAGAATTTCAAAATATGAACATATGCATTTCGGAATGTGAACATAAGGTATCCGTTTGATTTCACTAATTTTTTTTTTTGACAATTCCAATAAAAATTTCGAACAGTAGAGAGTATCGAATAATATTCAAACAAAATTAAGTAATAATCATATAAATTTAAACAAAGGAAATTTTGATTTTTACCACCTTCAAATAACGACTTTGTCGAATTTACCACCTCAAAAAAAAAACATTTACTTTACCACCTCATAAAAAAATTAAACATCAGTTTTACCACCAATCACCTCCAACTAACGGATTTCGTCCAAAAATCCGTTAATGGGGCCTACCTTGCACACGTGTCGCCATATTATTGGGTAAGTTATAAAAAAAAAATTTAAAAACAAAAAAAAAAATCCCCATCAAGCAATCGGTGGTTGCTGCCACCGTCGGGACCCCACCGCCGGACCGGCTACGACCATCCCTACCACCTAACCGTTACGACCGGCCCCCACCACCTAACCGCTACCAGCCACCATCGGGACCCACAGCCATCGCACTGATTTCGACCTTAAAACCCTAGCCACCACCTAACAGCTACGACCAACCCCACAACTTAACCGCTACCACCGCACCGCACACCACAGCCGCGCCGATTTCGACCCCCTTTCCACCAATTTCCGACCTCAAAACCCTAGCCACCACCTAATAGCTACGACCAACCCCACCACCTAACTGCTACCACTGCACCGCACACCACAGCCGCACCGATTTCTATCCCTTTCCACCAATTTCCGACCTCAAAACCCTAGCCACCACCTAACAGCTACGACCAACCCCACCACCATCCAAACCCAGACCAGAAACCACCGCCACCCAGACGCGAAACCACCGCGACCCGAAACCACCACCACCCAGATGCGAAACCACCGCAACCCACCCCAGCCTACCTAACCCCAAAACTAGCCTAACCCCAGACTAGAAACCACGCCACCCAGACGCGAAACCATCGCGACCCGAAACCACCACCACCCAGACGTGAAACCCACACGAAATTCCGACCAACCGAGGTAGTTGATGTCGTTGATGGTTGGTTGACATGGAAGATCGGGGAAGATGAAGAAGAAACGTAAAAAATGTGGGCCATACTAACGGATTCATGGACGGAATCCGGTAGTTGGTGGTAAAATCGAATTTTTGGAATTTTTGGTGGTGGTAAAGTAAATCTTTTTTTTTTGGAGGTGGTAAATTCAATTAAGTGGTTATTTGAAGGTGGTAAAAATTAAAATTTCCTTACACAAAATTAAGTGAAATTTACATAAAATTGCCTTTTTTTTTTAGACAAGATCCTTTTGATTTTGCATCTCTTTTCTAATGTTCATTGATGTTTTTTTGCAGTTTTTAGTGAGAGAAAATAAAATATAGGAGAGAGAAAGTGCAAAAGAGGAGAGAGAAAATCATATAGATCATGGAAGAAAAAGAGTTTTGAGTTTGGAGGTGACGTTACATTTATTGGGTGAGGGTGGGTGTATTGCAGTTTCCGTGTTTTTTAGTTTTAGGGCTTTTTTTAATTGGGTTGTGTATAATTGAGCTTCTGGGTTGTGTATAATTGGGCTTCTAGGTTGTGTTGTTACACCTATCTAAGGTGCACCACACCTTAGACTAATTGCAATTTCCACGTTATTGGGCTTACTTTTTAACCTTTCCTACCCAATTTACTCCCCATAACTACCTTCTCTCCTTTTTAATGTATTTTCTTGCAACTTTTTTTAATATGATTTTTTTTTAATCAAGATCTAATTTATTAACAAAAAATGATTTCTTTTTTTAAATCAATGTCGTATTAATACATGTCCATCGTGGGTCCTTTTAACGAATTCCATCTAAAAATCCGTTAGTAGGTGGTAAAATTCAATTTTTTGGATTTTTTTTGTGGTGTTATAATAAAAGTTTGAAAATTTGTGGTGTTATAATCAAAAGGAAATTTTGTGTAAAATTACCCTAAAGATAGGGTCATTTGTGAACAACCCATTTTTTTACATTTGTTTAAAATTACCCACAAGTTTGAAAAAGTTTTGGTAGCACTACCCACTAAAATTTTCCGTCCAATTAAGATGTTATTGGAGCCCACTTTTTTCACTTTTGCCACCCAATTAACTCCCCCAATTTGTTTAAAGGTTTTAATTTACCCAAAGTAACATAATTAGGATTTTAATTAGGAATCATTTTAAGGTTCATGAGTTAAGAATTATTTAGGGATTTTGATTTCAAAGGTTTGGGGTTTAATTGAATTCGGGTTTTTGCTTATTCTAGCAT